TATATTACATAAAAATATTTTTCTTTTAGAATTTAATGCTGCTTCTTTAGATTCAGTTGAAAAATCAATAGTTGTTATAAAAAATCCTACTACTTCTCTAGATTGTAATTCAAGAGCTTTATCAAATTTTTTAATATCTTCAGCTTGTTCATTATGATGATCTTTTCTATATTTTGCTTGAATAGCAAAAAATACTTCGTTATAATTTCTAGTTAAATCTATTCCACCATCACCTATAAATTTCTTTTTATTATTAATTTCATAATACAAGCGATGAGCATAACATTTAATAGCATTTGTTCTAAGTAATTTAAGAATTTTATATTCATATATCTCTCCTTTTTTTAACTGAACATCATAATGATTCATTATAAAATATTTTTTTTTAATTTTTTTTTTTTCAATCGATATGAAATATTAAGTTTTTATATTTATTTTGTTTCTCTGAGTCAGTTTTTAAAAAAAAAAATTAATAAATTAATAATTATTTTTCACTCTAGTCAGCCACTGAGTGAAAAATAACTTTAGTATAATTATTTTTGCTCTAGTCAGCCACTGAGCAAAAATATCGCATTGCATACTATCATACTCTCCTAACCTTCTCTTCGCAGTGTTAGTTAGTTGTTTGATATTGAAAAAATAGCTATCGTGCTTTGCTTGATGTTTGTTTTCAATATCAAATAGGTTTAAAAACATTTTGTAAACTTTTATTTATGATTTAATATTAATAATAAAAAAAAAAAATAAAAAATAATATTTTTTTAAATTTTATTGATTATTTTTTGAAAAAGTCTGTGATTTTTTTATCAGTTACAATTTCATTAAACTTGATTGCCTCTTTGAGGGAGCCTTCTTTTGCTAATTTATCAGCTTGTTCATTACCATTATTTCCAGCATAACCTTTAACATAAACAAAATTTACTGTTCCTATTCTGAGTCCTACAATTTTTAGATTTAATAGTTTGATTTTAACAAAAAAATTTCAGATTCCAGATTTTATTATTTTTGATAAAGATTTAGTACCATGTGATCATTGTGGTTCAAGTATCTGTTGTAATATAGATAAACCATGCACACAATGTGTAAATTCTAAGAAAAAATGTACATATGGAAATCTTAGAAAATCTAAGAAACGTATAACTTTCAAAGATAATAGATACTATTGTACATCACTATTTAACAGATCACAAAAACTTGTTTGCATGAAAAAAGAAGATATTGGTAAAAATTTTTGTGAAAAATGTAAAAAGTTAAGAAATTGCTACTATAGTAATGTGTTTAATAATTGTAATATTCAAAATTGTAATTTACAAAGAAATTCAGATATTATAAACACATTACAACATTGGTCTATTTGTCATCTTCATAATTTATGTGAATTCTGTTTTAGTAAATTTCCAAATCATTATGATGTACGATTTGAGAAAAACTCAATTTGGTTAGGAAATTAAAATTTTATTTAATATAAAAAATCTAAAAAATTAATTCGATAAAAGTGAATATTAAAGCAATATATATTATAAAAATATATATAAATTCATATTGAACATAAAACAATAACATAACAGTTAAAATTAAAATTCTAAGCATAAATTTTACAAAATTACATTTTTCATTAAAATTTTTTTCTTTAGTTAGTTTAATTATTTCCTCAATAAAAATTTCTTTTGAAATTTTATTTTTTAATTCTAAAATTTCATTATCAAGTACTAAATTTTTATTTTGTTGGATATAATATCTTGTTACAGGATATATTTTTTTCATCTTTAAAAATTTAATTATTTTTAGTCATATTTATAATTATTTTTTATTATAAATAACTTTGATTTTTTCCTTCGTCTAAAATAAAATGAAATTTCTAAATTATATATTGTTTGAACATAATATGATTGGTATCAGAGATTATGTTGAGATT